AAACAGAAATAATGAGCTTTAAAGGGCAATGCATTCTTTTGTTTTTTTAAAGGCCAAATAGATGTGACAGGGAATTCATAAGCCCAAGGCTCTGTTTTACCTAGGGCCGTTAAATTGTTCCTGAGAATAATCTTTCCGAAAACTGCCCTGCTCCAAGGTGTTCGGAAGTGTTATGAACAGCATTTCATCCCACTGACATTTCCACATATATGGTTGCTCCCTTTCTTATGCCTTTTCTTTCCTTTGAAACAAAGCAATGATGGAAAGCGAAAGCTCCCAAACAATGGAGCCTGGTGGCATTCATGCTGGGGAGCTGGGCTCTGTGTTTGCTCCAGATTTCAGCCTGACATGGTGCCGAAGCAAGCCCTGCATTTGCCTCGCTGGGCAGCTCTTCAAGTTCAGACTGAGACCCAGGATGGATGTCCCGCCCTGCTGGCAAGGGGTCAGTCGTCCTAGCTGTCTGCAACTGAGTGTCTCGGTCTTTTCCTTGTTATTCACTTACTTCCGATGGCCAGCAAGGGCATGCAAATCAGTGCCCCCCCCCGCCCCTTTTATTCTGCAGGACTGCCTGCTGCTAATGGACGAGCCAAGAGCAGGCTCTTCCCTGGCCTGCTTTGCTAGGCTGGAGCTGTGAGTGTCTGGGAAGAAACACTGTGAGTGGGCGGGAAAAATGAAAAAACAACCCCTTTATTCCCAATGACGAAAAGTACCTGACAAAAAATGGGTTTCCTTCTGTTTCCCTCCAGGTTTTTTTACTTACATCTGTCTCGGTTGGTGAGACCTGTGCCCGGGCAGAACGATTTCACACTATGGATGGGTTTTCATGGGCTACCAGGTGAGTTCCCAAGATAGGTTCTGGCTGGGTTGCCACAACTTCCCAAAAAGAGATGTGTGACAGAAAACTAGCAAGTCAGAGAGAAGGTCTGGACCTTTGCCTTGATACACTAATTCTCTATGTTCAGGGACTTGTGTGTGTGTGTAAAGACATGCTCAGACTTGCAGTATAACATCACACTGCCAGACACATTTTTACTACCGGAGTGAGAAGCTGGCCTCCACTGCTGCCTTGAGAAGCCCAGCGCCCCTGAGCTGTCAAACTGCCACCCACCCAAAGACCCTTGTTTCCTTGAATACCTTCTGCAATTTATACCTGGAGACACCCCCCTCCCACTTCAAACCTCCCCCCCACGCTGCAAATAAGAAATCCCCTTTTCCTCCTGGTTCATAAATCTGGAGCAGATATTTCTTCTTCCTTTGCTGCATAAAACAAAGTAAAATAAAATATAAAGAACCAGCCCTCTCATCATTTGCTGCTGTCACAGAGGCGACAGCCAGAACAATATTTTTTTTAAATGGTTTCGCAGTGGAATAAAGCTGGCAACAGCGGGATGCTGAGCACATTTCCTCTGGATTGATGCTCGCTCGCAAGACCATTCTGGGAGGAAATGTGGCACCTGGCCAGCCAGTGGCTCTTGTGATTTGCAAAATGTGTGGGACCAATACTGCAATTGCAAGAAACTGCAAGAGCAGTAGGTTGCGCAGGTGGGTTCCCCCCCCCCCCCCCGTTTTATTTTACCAGTGGAGAAAAGAACCCACAGCTCCTCCGTCCCCACCACGAAACCAATGTCAGCCCCGAAAATCTCCAAGAGGCCCTCCCCGGTTTGCCAGCGCCCAAACGCGGCAAAGCAAAGCAGGTCTAATCCTGTCCAACTTGGTGAGTGTAGCGAACCCAGAGAAAACGACACGCTGGCAGGTCCCTCTCCCCGAGCTGGGCCTCGCTCTCTTTATTACAACACAGATGCTCTACAGAGTTACATATCTTTACATTCCCACAAGTGACCTGAGCGGGGAGGCGTTGCAGATGTCTGAGCACCTACAGTTTCCTTGCTTCAGCACAAAGACAAGGACTGGCCTTGTCGCCAAGAGCCGTGGTTGCTGCTAAGAAAACGTGACCGAACTGCAGGGAAGCGGCTGGCTGTGCTAGGCTGAAGCAGCGAGAAAGAGCAGATGCAGATAATTTAATGCGCCATATTTTAAAAACTCACAGGTTATATCTACAGGGTAAGGTCCCCCACAGTGATTCCTTGAAACAGGGCTTTGGGGAAGGGCTGGAAATTCTGCTCCTCCTCTGGGCAAAGCATCTATTTCTGGCATTCACATGTAGGTGTGTTTTTAAAGCATCCCCCATGCACACAAATGGCCTCTCAAAATTCTCCCTTCCCTTTGTGGGCAGAGAAACTGGGGAGATAATCTCACCGCATTTTTCCAGGGAAAGGAGAAACAATTAGCATTTAAAAGGTATGCAGGTTGCTTTTTTGGAACTGTAACCAATGTAACTCTTCCCAAATACAATAAAACAATGTTAAAAACTTGAAACAAAAACTACAGCAGCATCCATATTAACCACGAAAACTCAGTAACACCATATACTCAATCAAGGCCAGCCTCAGTAATAGGAGAAGGAATATCAATCAGTCTTTAGAGCCCACCTGTAATGATGATACAGCCTGACTTACATCAACTGGGGCAGAGAATCACTCCCAGCAAGGTGCTAGTCCTCATGCCTGTCAGCTGAATTATTTTGAAAGATGGATAGGGAAGGGCAGTGACTCCTGTGTCATTGGGGCTCATTTTTCAGTACGGCTTTTATTCTGAGCCTTACAGGACCTAGCTATGTGTTCTGTGGTGGTGAACCTAGTTTGGGGATTGATTTTAGTGCCTATAGAACTCACAGTAGAAGCCACAATGGACATGGAATAACGGGCTCAAGTTACAGGAACCCAGGTTCCGGCTGGTCACCAGGAAAAGCTTCCTGTCTGTTAGAGCAGGACAACAGAGAGAGAGGTCCGCCTGGCGCCATCATTATTTGTTTTTCGGCGCCAGGTGAAGACCTTTTTATTTGAACATCATTTTAATTGTTAACAATATTTGCTTATTTATCTGGCCAGGGCGACTTCTTTTATATTCTTTTATATTTTTTATTTATTTTATATTGTTAATTTTAATTTTATATTGTTATTTTTGCATTTTATTGTATTTTATTGTGTTGTAAGCCACCCCGAGGCTTCGGCAAGGGGCGGCATAGAAATGTTCTAATAAATAAATCAATAAACAAACAAACAAACAAACAGTGGAACCCATTGTGGTGGGCATCCCACACTGGAGGCCTTTAAGATGCAGTCGTTACACAGGGATGGTGTAACTTGGGAGGCCTGCTCTGAGCAGGGCATTGGACCTGATGGCCCTCTGGCCCCTTCCAACTTCACCATTCTGAGCTTCTGTGATTGTCTAAAAAGTCACACTAACACAAATGGTGTTATTCTGAAATACGGGCGAATGGCTGTGGATGAAGGTAGCCATTTCGAGGGCCCGGAGCCAAGGGATTGAGGGATTTATTGTCCGAAGCCAGTGCTTGGGCCTTGGAGGCACCCGGCAGCTGGTACAATGCAGATGTGCCTGGGCCCAAGTGGCCGTCTTTGCACCAGCAGAAAGTTTCTGACCCTTCTCTGAAGGCTCCCCCGCTCAGTCGCCTCCAGCAGATTCCCAGGGATGGAGCTCAGCATTAGCAGCGGCCGTGATTTGCGGGCGGCCTGGCTGCCACTCTGAACTCCCCGCAAGTCCCCGGGACCAGCATCGTTTTGGGGAACTGCGGCTGGCAAGCAGCCGTGGCTGGAGAAAATGATGGAGGGTGCCACGGAGGGTCAGACGAAGTGAAAAATGTCTTCTGGTAATTTTGAGATCCTTTCTATTATTGGTGCCGTTTTTCTCTGGGAAAAAGCACAGCAGGGAACCAGGTCTAACGACATCATCTTGCTTTATGTTTTAAGGGTATGGTGTACAGTTAAACTGTGGGATTTGCTGCCGCGGGAAAAGGTCACCGATCTGGATGGCTTTAAAAGGCCATCAGTCTGTCCAATCTCCTTTAAAAGGAGATTGGATGGACTAATGGAGGTTAGCAGTGGCTACCGGCACTCCTGGCTGTGGGCTCCCTCCCTCACCAGAGGTGCCCTGCCTGCACGCAGCAGCTGCTGAGGAGCTGGGCAGGAGGAGGTCTTGCCCCCATCCTGCTGGAGGGATCCTGTGGGCAGCCGGTTTGCCAGCGTGTGTGTGGCGTGCCAGACTGGATGGACCTTGGTCTGATCCACTGTGGCCTCGCTCACATTCTTATATTCTTAGGTGCACACCTTGAAAAAGGAACCTGGCAGAATGGGGGGGGGGGAATCTTCTGAAATAATGTTGCAACATCCTTCGCTTTGTGCTGTGAAACAGGTGGGCAGGAAAGAGATTTCCAGATGTCTGTGACTTCATCTCCCACATTCCTGAGCATTCGCATGCCGGCTGGGACTTCTGGGAGTTGAAGTCTAAACATTTGCAGATGAATCCTGCTGGGACCCACCCTTAACTGGTCCAAGGAAGTATTTCATGTCAATTCGCATATCATCAAACGTTGCCCTGTTCGTTACTCTGCATGTGAATAGAAGACACCCCCTCCCCAGCAGCCCCCAGAAAATGCTTGCACATTTCAATATTCCAGTGCAGTTCTCAAGTCATAAAACATTCCAGAGCCATTCACGCTTCAATCCTATGAACATTAACTTGGGTGCAAGACACACAGAACTTAGCGGGACGTATTTCTGCATTGTTAACATTCATATTTAGAGAGAAAACACATGTTAAAATGCATGTTTGGAAAGAACATGCATTCAAAAGACATATTTGAATATATATTTGAATGCACACTTGCATGCAGAATGTTTTTTCCCCTTTTAGACATGCAGATTAATGCAGAAATGAACTGATGCTTGGGTAGACATGTTCAAAAGTTTCAAAGCATGGAAACAGACAAATTCAGGCATCCCTAGCTGTGGGTTTGCAGCCATCAATGATAATCTACAGTTTATTGAATGGCAAGATCTCTGCTATGTTGCAGCCTCCAGAGAGGTTTGGGTTGGCTATTTCCCCCTCCTGCTCCCTTTCTGGCCTCATGGGGGGGGGGGCGCTTAGGGCCTTCTGATAAAGATCTCACCACTGTCATCTTCCAGTATCTCTTCAATCCGGCCTCTCTGAAATGCAAAAGAAAGAAGGATATGAAATGAGGCCTCTATGGTGCTGGGAATATAGTCACCCCCGATCTTTGCTAGACTGGAGCTACAGAATGCCCTGCAATGGGGGGAAATGGTAAAGCGAGCAGATGGGGCTCTGAGGTCGGTGGAGATGCTGCCTTTGAGTGGTCCTATGAGCTTTTAGGCTGCAATCCGATGCATTTTTACACAGAGAAAAGGCCTACAATTCCCAGCATTCCTGAGAAAGACAGACCTTTTTCTCTTTAAACATGCGGCGGATATGCCATTGTTATTTCCTGCAAGAGCAGGGGGTTGGACCTGACGGCCTTCTGGCCCCCTCCAGCTCTACAATTTATGATTTTGTGCCGCTTTTGCACGCAAACCTATGGCTGCTAGACCCATCTAGGTGGCCACGGGGCCTTGTGGAGTTCTGGTTCCAACCTCGGAGCCCTGGCTCCTTCTGCACAGCTGGCCCGGAAAGAGCCACACCAGCTGTGACTGAAGTTGTGAAAGCCAACTCAGAGATAGGCAAACTTAAAAATAGGCTTTGGGGGTGGGGAGCAGGTAGGACAAAGAGGAGGTCTGCTCTGCTGGCATGGGAAGTATCCTGGTGGCAGCTCAGCTTCCTTCTCTCATGCTCTGAAGTAAACGCTTGGATCCATCCGTCCCTCTATTTCTATATTTACCATGTAAGTACACCCCTAGTCCTTATATGCAAACAGGATGGGCAGAGTTTAAATTGTCCAGGTCAAAATCAACATCATTCAACCTTCACTCCCCCCCCCCACCCCCTGCCACAACCTTTTAAACCCCCAGGAGAAAGTATCTGAGGGCAGAAAATGCAAAATGCTAAACATCTTAGTTCTGGCTGGAGTTTTCCCTCAGGGGGTTGCAGTCAGCTTAAGAATGGTTTCCTGCTATCAGCAGGGACAGATTAATTTTTCTTGTGGTTATGCAAACAAGGAAATTTGCATAAGAATAGCAGACCCAGTGACTTTTCTCTGCAATGGTTTGGCCTACTAACTTTAGAAAATTGTAGCATGGCTTTCCCTAAACAAATTTTCATTCTGTTTGCTGGAGAGTTTAGCGCAGAATCTTAGATTTAAAATCAGATCAAGATGAACTTGATGAATTGACCCTGGCTTTTTGCCTTTTCTGGGTATTTTTGTCTGGGGTCACAAAGTTACCCCACCCAGCTATTCTTATAAAGTTTCCCAGGTGACTGTGTCACCCCAGGTATTTAATAAAAAACAATAAAAGATAGGAAGCTGAAATTTGGGGACACTTTACACCAGGTCCTTTGTGACAACTTCATAAAAGAACAGGTTAGTAGGACTACTCATGTGTAAATAACTGTACAGAATGTGCACCTGGAGGACTAAAGTCACCCCACAATGCGGAATGAAGGCTCTAAGCCAGTCAGAATTGAAGTGTGTTGTTGCCTGCCTAAATTCACCAGGGATGGGGCTGCCACAGACAAGTCCCTGCCCTGGGCACCCTCCGACCAAACTTGATGTAGTGGGGCTGGGGAACAGAAGGGGGCTTCAGAAGATTGCAATTTATGGGCGAGTGCATATGGGTTCCATCTTTCCATGTGCCCTTTTTGACTCCTGGGTACTCTCGTTCCCTTTTCGGAAGGACAGAGGGATCAGACAGGCAAGGAAACTGCTTTGCCTCGCGTACCTGAACTGTGTTCATGCAGTCAGATAATTTGGCAAGGTTCCTCTTCGGTGGGAGGAAGATCTCCAGTCTCACAGCTCCTTTCGCGTTCCTCTGGAAGGAGATGAGGAAGTTGATCTCCTGTGCCTGGAGTGGAAGGCATAAAAAGGCAGGTGTGTAACTGAGAGCAGGCAGGAAGGGCTGAAGATAATGAGGTGGAGGAATGGCGATCATCCATATGTTGCTGGACTCCAACTCCCATCAGCCTCAGGCCAATGAAGGGAGCTGTAGTCCAACATCTTCTGTGGGGCACACGATCACCACTTTACATTGAGTAAAGGTGTCATGGCCTGAAGGACTAGGTTCCAGCACGTACAATCTCCTTGCTTCAACGACTCTTCACTGCACCCAAGCCCCAAGGAATCAGTGGGGTGAGCTTACTGTGGGTGGCAATGGGCTTAAGCATAACAAACTCCTGTCATTTGGGGGTGGGGGGGTTGCCTTTTCACTTTAGCTGACCTCAGTCTGAATGCCTGCAAGGTCACTGTTGTCCCCAGAGACTTTGTTCAGCTTGGGAGAGTCATCTTTGTACACATCGAGTTCTCCTTGGGAGCATCTAAGGGCCAGGCCTGGTTTATTGACCAGTCAAGATTCTCCGTCAAGGCTTTGCCATGTTCAGCCTTGAGAAGAAAGACTGAGCGGGGACATGGTATCCTTCCATAAGTACCTCAAAGGCTGTCACAAAGAGGAAGGTCAAGATCTCTTCTTGCTGATGCCAGACTGTGGGACATGGAATAATCCATTCAAGTTGCGACAATCCAGATTCAGGCTGGATATCAGGAAAAGCTTCCTCACTGTCAGAGCAATGTGACAGTGGAACCAGCTGCCTGGAGAGGTGGTGCCCTCTCCCACAATGGGGACTTTCAAGGAGAAACTGGACAGCCTCCTGGGTGGGATGGTGTGACTTGGTGTCCTGCAAGAGCAGGGGGTTGGACTCAATGGCCTTCATGGCCCCTTCCAACTCTACTGTTCTATGATTCTGTGATTTGCCTTGTTGTTCAGGACAGTCTCAGTCCTGGGGCAAAAGCAGGGCCAGGCAGCTGTTTGGATAGGAGCAGTAGCAGTGAAACCTCTTCCAAAGTTGCTAACTATAGTATGTTGATGGTGAGAGCCATAAATAATGACAACCTCTTAGTGACAGCGGGAGCCAAGTGACGATGGAGATGTAAGAAAACAACTCCCTTGAGGCCATCTGGTCTAAAATAAGCAACTTTCTCTGGAATAAGCTTTCTCACAGGGATTAGGCAGAGAAACTTGGCTCGGGTTTTGTAAACCCCGACATTTCAAGTGAAAACAGGGCAGGCGATTGGCAGGGCCTCCACGGGCCTGGAAGGAGTTTTCAGAGTGCTTACTCTTAGGTGCCTGCAAGGACAATCACCCCACCATCTGTGCTGGGACCAGGAATTCCACCCACTGCCTCCCCAGCGCAGGACGGCCACACTCCTATTAACAGTGCTTCCATGCAGTACACGCTTCCCAGTTCTCAGGGGACAGCAGATGCTATTAAAGCAGTCCAGTAGCCGCCACGACATCGAGCGGGGAGCATTGCAAAATTTCCTCTGGTTTGCAGGCCTTTTAAAGACAACAGTGCACATCATTTTTGATTCTTTGTTCATTAAAAAAAATGGGGGACAGAGAAAATTTAAGGGGAGTGTCGGCTGCAAGCCCAAGCTAGAGTGACATGAAAATTGGGGGGGGGGGGGAGGTTGGCATTTTGTTTGAAACGCCTTTCCTATGGTGTTTTTTTCCTTTGATCTTTCATGGCTGATCACTCTGGATTCTGTGCAGATGTGCAGCAGCTGGGAACTAAGTAAATGCCTACGCAGAAAAAGAAAGAGCCAGGGTAGTCAACTGGGCTTGCTCCCAGGAAGGCTGGGCATGCGCAGAGTCCGGAGCACCCCTCCACAGTCTGGCCAGATGAGTCAGATTGGCCACCAGTCATGGAAGTTGTTCTCCGACAGACCCGGAGGACACCAGCTTCAACCGCAGCTGTGTTCCCCTGAGCATGTGGACAGCAAGTGCAAAGATGGAGCCAAAAATGTTCTAGTTGTTTTGGACTTCGGCTGCCATCAGCCCCATCCAGCAAGGCCAATGATCAGGGATGCTGGAAGATGTTGCCTGAAACATCTGGTGAGTACCAGGTTGGGGAAGGCTGGCTGGAAAGAGGCCCAGTGGGCGCGCCTCAATGAGGGACTGTCTCTTGCCAAGGCTGTGTGCCCGTCCGCTCACCCTTAGGTTCTGATATTGAAGCCTCGTGTTCCGCAGGCGGTTCCGGGCCTCGGCAGCCTTGAGGATGCCAATGAGGTTTTTCTGCTCCACCTGCTTTTCCTGTTGGTCAACAGCCTTTCTTTCCTTCATGAGAACCGTCGCCAGCAGGGCCTTCACCCTCGGTTCGCTGGGATCGGCAAACGCCAAGTAGCGCGCGGTCTGCTTGGGAGTCATTGTGTTTATGTCACAGAGGATGGCCGGCTTCTTCAAGCGAGTGGTGGATTTACTTCTCTGAAGAGTTGCAGCCATCTTTGTTTCCCCCTCAGTTCTGGATCCGATCCCGATGCGAAGAAAAAGAGCTGAAAAAAGCTTCAGAGTGGGAGAATGCAAGGTTACATTAAACCTCAGCTATTATGTAAAAGCAGTCAGTATAAATTATCGCAGAGAGACTGCCTGCATTGAACAGAATCAGTCTGTTTTTATTTTATTTCATATGTAATACCTGAATACCATTTAAATATGATAAAATTCCTCCACAGCTCACATACAAACATTAAAACCACACTGGACATCCTATTAAAATCACAACACTAAAATAATTAAAAACAGCGACAGAGGGAACAACATGATTAATTTACTTATAGGCCAGAGAAATCCTGGGAGAACGAGTGTCTTTGCAGGAGGCATTTACAACAGGCCGCTTCGTCCGCCTCCGCAGCTGCACAAGTGAGGCAGAAAAGGTGGCATGCACTGCTGAGGTGGGTGCCGGGCTGAGATACCGCATAGCAACATTTTGTCATGTTTGCAATGAGGGGCAAGGCCTCCTCTGAGCTTAAATGTCAGTTGGGTGTACAATATAGATAAGGAAAGACGGTCTGTTAGATGCTCTGGTCCCACGTTGTTCAGGGCTTGGTCTGACCACAGCATAATCTTGAATCGGGCTTGGTAGCAAAGAGGCAGCCCGTGGAGTTCTTTTAATTCATTCTGCAGTCGCTGCAGCTTCTTAACCAGGCACAGAGGCTGCCCCACGCCAGTCACACTCCCCTGTCCATGAACAGGGAAACTCCCAGCCCTGGGAACAAGCCCCCTCTGTGTTTCCAGGATCCAGGCCATAATGGCATTCAGGAACTGGATGAGCACACACAGGGCTTCTCCTGCTCATCTCTCCTAGGGCACCGTGGCCCAGATCTCCTGAATGCTCCCCATTCGTCCTAAAAGTTCGGAACGTTCTGCCAAATTTGCAGATGGATCCTTGGGGAGCTCCTGGGATGCAACACCCCTGCTGCAGATCATGCTGTGAAACAAGACAGGGGCAAACAAGAAATCGAAGACAGGTTCCCTCAAAGAGGCTCTGTCAAGCTATGATGTCTGGGCACATTTGCAATCTGTAGGAGGCCTGCTTGCACCCCAAAAGGGCTTCATTCCCATGGCGTTGCTGGAGATTCGTGGAAACTGAGTGCCGGAAACACCCCTTAATTCAGCCAAGGAGACTCTTAGGATCTTTGCAGCCATCTTTTGTGTGTTGTGTGTCTGTTTCAGTTGTCTGCCTGGTTCTTCTCCTTGCTGGAAATGTCGAAATTGCAAGTTTTGCTAGACTGTTGTTTTATGATACTGAATCTTATCTTTTGGGAACGATTCGTGAGTTGCTGAGAAGATAACATGATTCAGAGGCCATACAGAAATGCAGTAACGGAAGTCCTCTTTCCGATAGGGTTGCATCTCACTTCCTCATTTGCGAAGCCCTTCCATTTCAGGAAGGCATTTAACCTGTAATTTAGAACTTGCTGCTTTTAATCTGTCTGTTGAATATCTCGAATACTCGCAACGCATCTTTGTGTCTGCTGGTGTTTTGGGGGCTTGTTCCACAGACTTTGTTTTAAGTTGAAAGGGTGTTTTTCATCCCACTGATTGTGTTCGCTACCTTGCAATAGATCATGACTTTGATGAAACCGCTATGAAGCCATACCCTAGGAGAGCGGGCTAGAAATACAGCCAGGAACGAAATGAGGGATCGGGAGGCCAGCTTCGCAAACAGCCTATGCCGAGGTGCTTTTCAAGAGCAGCTCTACCCGAAACCCTTCATGGCTGATGCTTTTCCGCAGCACGGAGAGAAAACAGTATCTCTTCCTAGCAGCTGCAGCGCCCTTGCTTTGCACTGAACGCTGCAGCTGTGGCTGAAGTGCTGGCAACTCCCAAATAACGTGTGCGTGTTGTTGAAAAGCAAGAACCGGGGGAAACGTGTCCCACTGCTGCTGATGTCTTTTGCAGGCCCGTGGCAGGATATTGCACCGGATGCTTCTGACAGAATGAGGAAGCGGTTTTATGGGTGATACCAGAGTCTTTAACTAGAATTTCAGCCTCGAGCAAACATGACTTTTCAATGTCATGTCAGGAACTGCAAAGCTTTTGGATAGCTTCTGATGTGAGAAAAACTGGAAACTGTCCAGTGAACAGACCCCCACCAAGCTTATTTGGAAAGCTGCAAATGCACAGACACAGTCCTAAGTTTGCTGCAAGGGGTGCTGTTCTTCCAAAACTTTATCCAGGAGCGGAAACTTCAAAAGGAGCCCCTGCTGAAAAAAACCTTGCAGAGACATTGTCTGGGGGAAGCCACCCACAGAGCTCCTTTGGTGTCTGTGTTCGGAATTCAGCGCATTGCTTTGTTCGCGCTCCACATGCCTCCCGTGTGGATCCCGGCGTGAACCAGATTGCAATTAGCAACCGGCGGGCTTTCGGCCCACATTGCCCATCAGCAGCAACCCAGCCTGTCGAGCCATGTGGATCCCACATGGCGACCTGCTGTATGCACGTCCCTACGCCCTGGTGCCAGGAAGGGCCCAGAATTGCCTGCCCCTTGAATGGCGCTGCTCTGCAGGGATTCACTCCAAGTTCTTTCCAGGCCCACAAGTGAGAAACCTTGATGCATGATAGACTCATAGAACAGCAGAGTTGGAAGGGGCCGTGAAGCCCATCGAGTCCAACCCTCTGCTGTTGCAGGACACCAAGTCACACCATCCCACCCAGGAAGCTGTCCAGTTTCTTTTTGGATGTCTCCAGTGTGGGAGAGCCTACCTCCTCTCCAGGCAGCTGGTTCCACTGTTGCATTGCTCTGACAGCGAGGAAGCTTTTCCTGATATCCAGCATGAATCAGGGTTGTCACAATTTGAATGGATTATTCCGTGTCCTACACTCTGGCATCAGCAAGAAGAGATCTTGACCTTCCTCTTTGTGACAGCCTTGGAGGTGCTTATAGCGGGATACTTCAGTCTTCTCTTCTTAAGGCTGAACATGCCCAGTTCTCTCAGTCTCTCCTCACAGGACAGTGTTTCCAAACTCTGGATCATTTTTGTTGCCCTCCACTGGACCCTTTCTAATTTTCCTGCATCTTTCTTAAATCTTGGTGCCCAGGACTGGACACAGTATTCCAGGTGAGGTCTGACTAGTGAGGAATATAGAGGAACTACTACTTCTCGTGATTTGGAAGTAATACTTCCATTAATGCATCCCAAAATAGTGTTTGTCCTTTTGGCGGCTGCATTGCATTGTTGGCTCATGTTTAGCCTATTTTCCACAGTTACTCCAAGATCTTTTTCTTGTTCAGTTCTGTTGAGCCACGTATTCCCCATCTTATATCAATGCATTTGGTTTCTTCTTCCTAGGTGAAGGACTTGGCACTTGTCCTTTATGGAATCTCATTCTTTCCTTTCAGCCGAGTGTTCAAGCTTATCAAGATCACCCTGGATCTTCATTCTGTCTTCTCCGGTGTTTGCTATTCCACCCAGTTTTGTATCATCTGCAAATTTGATTATCTTTCCCTGTAGTCCCTCACGTAAATCATTCACAGAGCAGCACACCGGGTTCTTTTAGACCCAGGTCCGACAATCCTGCCCCACAGCTGCCTTTGCATGGCCTTGCTTATTAATTCAGTTGGGAAGCACATCACGGACCTTCTCTTCCATGCCTGGCTATTCCAAGCTTTACAACAGCATGTCTCGTCCCTGCTCAAAATGCTTGGACTTTGGTGTCAGCCCACTTCACAGCAAAATGCACTTTTCCAGGTAGGACACCGAGAGAGTGGAAGAAAGAGCGAGATCACTGATATAACAACCCTGGAAGGTAAACCTATTCAGACATAGACACACCCCCCAACACACGTCTATGGACAACACCCACCTTTGAGACGATTCAGTGAGTTTTTTGCCGCTTTGTTAAGAAGAAAGTCTTTCTCTCTCAGCTGGTCCTTACTCGTACGATACAAGAAGCGATACTGGTTCTCCTATTGGTCAAAAAGAGAGAGACGCCAGGTGACATGTTGCTTTCCAGAGGCAGGGGCATTTTGGGGGGTGGAGGTGGGAAGGGCAGCTTCTCTGTGGCTCTGCAGGTCTGCATGACGCAAACTTCCGTGCCCCCCCGCCATACCCGCCCCCCAGCCCTGGTTCCTGCAAGCACCTTCTCCGTTCTTCCTCAGTGGAATTCCAGAATCTGGAATGCTAGTAGTGAATTATTATTGTGCAGATTATTCAAAAGACAAAAAAGAAAGAATGAAAGAAAGAAAAGAAAGGGCAAAATCTTCCCCTTTGCTTCTTGTGGGTAGAATTTTAAAAAGGAAAGAAATGGAAAAACAATTAGAAAGCAGTTCTGGTATCTGAAAGTATCTGTGTACTCTTTCTTTCATCATCATCATCATCATCATCATCATTTATTTATTTATTTAAAAATTTCTATGCCGCCCCATTCGCCGAAGCCTCGGGGCAGCTTACAAAACAACAGTTAAAATATAAAACAGTAAAAATATGAAACACATTAACATTGTAAAATAAGTCGCCCTGGCCTTATATTGCATTTATAGCCAGACTTTCTTCCTTTTGCAAGGAGCTCAAGGCAGCTTACCAAGTTCTCCTTCCCTCTGCTTTATCCTCATAACAACAACCCTGTGAGGTAGGTTAGGCTGAGAGGCAGTGACTGCCCTCAAGTTACCCAGTGAACTCCATGACTGGGTGGGGACTAGAACTGGAGCACCCTGGTCCCAAGTCCAGCATTCTTAACCTTATACCACACTGGCTCTCTGATATTTAAATAAAGCCCCCCACAACGCACAAAACAAACAACAATAGCATATTTTAAAATATGAAACAAACCATTTAAATGGTTTTTACACTCTTGCCAAATGCCTGAGCCATCTTGCTGCAAGAACTGCAGGTTCTGACATGCGAATTCTGCTGCAGGTTGAAACAGAACTGCAGAATCCCAGTTGTACCGTGAGCATCTTACCTTTGCTCCAGGGCCAGGGTTTTAACGCACCTGCCAGA